TGATGGATGGCGTGTGGTTTTCAAAATCTGGTTCTCGTCTTAGCGCCGCGCACATTCGTTTTTGAACAATTGAGAAAGTTTCGCGGAATGCGGGCGGATGGTTTTCAAAAAGTGGCTCTCGTGTTACCACCGAGCACACTCGCGTTAAACGTGTGCAAGAATTTCACGGATTGAGGGCGGGTAGTTTTCAAAACGTGGCTTTCGCCACAGCGCCGTGCACATTTGTTTTAGAATTTGAAAGAGTTTCACGGATTGAGGGCGGTTCATTCTCAAAATGTGGTTCTCGCCTGACCACTGCGCACATTCGTTTTTCCCGGAAAGGGCGTGGGCCCAGGGTTCTCTTTGAGATGGTTTACCCCCAGGTTTCGACTTGAAGGGGGCCGGCAAAATTATTCTGCGTAAATAACAAAGTGAAGTGCTGATTTTCAGTCGAAAAAATGCGTTTCGCGCGTGCCCGTTCAAGGAAAGTGCGCCCCCCATCTCGGATCCTCGATAAAAAAACGGGGTCCGCAAACCCCCGTTTTCCATCATAAAAAAAAGGGTGCGGAGCGTTTTTCGCATAATCCTCGACAAATAACAGGGTCTGGAGCCCCGACCGCGACGCGGAAAAGCGCCCCGCGCGCAGGAATTCCGAGGATGTCTCGCGCGTGCCGCGTCCCGCGCGCAGGAATTTCGAGGATGTCTCGACTAATTCGTTTGTTTTGTCAGGATTTCTTAGAATTTTGGCAGGATGTCTCGAGCGAAACGTTTTTTTCCCGGAAAGGGCAGAGTAGCCCAGGGTTCTCTTTTAGTAGGTAAACCTGTCCCCCGGTGCCAACTTGAGGGAGGCCGGCGAATTTTTTCCCTGATAAATAACGAGGTCGAAGGAGGCCGGCGAATTAAAATTTGAGGATGTCTCGAGCGAAACGCTTGTTTTTGAAATCCCGATCGATAAATCACAGGGTGCGGGCCACTTTTTCGTGTGTTGAGGATGTCTCGAGCGAAACGCTTGCTCCGCAGAGTTTGCCGAGGATGTCTCGAGCGAAACGCTTGTTTTGCAGAGCCGACCGCGACGCGGAAAAGCGCCCCGCGCGAAGGAATTTCGATGATGTTTCGACTAATTTGTTTGTTTTTGTACGATTTCCTGGAATTTTGGCAGGATGTCTCGAGCGAAATGCACGACCCCACCCTAGCACGACCATACCCCAGCACGACCACACCCAGCACGACCAGACCCCAGCACGACCCCACCCCAGCACGACCCCACCCCAGCACGACCATACCCCAGCACGACCACACCCCAGCACGACCCGACCCCAGCACGACCCTATCCCAGCAAGACCACACCCCAGCACGACCACACCCCAGCACGACCTCACCACAGCACGACCACACCCCCAGCACGACCACCCCCCAGCACGACCACCCCCCAGCACGACCACACCCCAGCACGACCACTCCCCAGCACGACCACACCCCAGCACGACCACACCCCAGCACGACCACACCCCAGCACGACCACACCCCAGCACGACCACTCCCCAGCACGACCACACCCCAGCACGACCACACCCCAGCACGACCACACCCAGTCGCACCCCCGTGGAATGTTTCGTGGCGTGTCTGTTGAGTGGTTGCCTGTTCGTGGGGTGTCTCGTGGAATGTTTCACGGGGTGTCTCGTGGACTGTTTCGTGAGGTGTCTCGTGGAATGTTTCGTGAGGTGTCTCGTGGGATGTTTCGCGGGGTGTCTCGTGGGATGTTTCGTGAGATGTCGCCCAGTTGGGTATCGTGAAAACGTGACCATGCTGCACATGTCTTTATCCCTTTCCGGGTTCGTGGGTCCATCATGTTTCCCGGAAAGGGCGTGGGCCCAGGGTTCTCTTTTAGTATGTAAACATGTCCCCGGTGCCCAACTTGAAGGAGGCCGGCGGATTCTTTCCCTGATAAATATCGAGGTCGAAGGAGGCTGGCGGATTAAAATGTGAGGATGTCTCAGGCGAAACGCTGGTTTTTGAAATCCCGATCAATAAATCACAGGGTGCGGGACACCTCAGCACGACCACACCCCCAGCATGACCACACCCCAGCACGACCACGCCCAGCACGACCACGCCCCAGCACGACCACACCCCAGCACGACCACACCCCAGCACGCCACACCCCAGCACGACCACACCCCAGCACGACCACACCCCAGCACCAGCACGACCACACCCCAGCACGACCCGATCGACAAATCACAGGGTGCGGACCACCCCAGCACGACCACACCCCAGCACGACCCCACCCCAGCACGACCCCACCCCAGCACGACCACGCCCCAGCACGAGGAAAATGCGCCCCCCATCTCGGATCCTCGATAAAAAACGGGGTCCGCAGACCCCCGCTTTCCTTCGTAAAAAAATGGGTGCGGAGCGTTTTTCGCAGAATCCTCGACAAATAACATGGTCTGGAGCCCCGACCGCGACGCGGAAAAGCGCCCCGCGCGCAGGAATTCCGAGGATGTCTCGCGCGTGCCGCGTCCCGCGCGCAGGAATTTCGAGGATGTCTCGACTAATTCGTTTGTTTTGTCAGGATTTCTTAGAATTTTGGCAGGATGTCTCGAGCGAAAAGTTTTTTTTTACATAGTTTGTTGAGGATGTCTCGAGGGAAACGCTGGTTTTGCAAAATTTGATGATGTCTCGAGCGGGGGCTTCGTGGGGGGCCAGAATTCAAAGGATGTCGCCGGCGAAATGCTTGTTTTCGTGTCCCGCTCGCAGGAATTCCAAGGATGTCTCGCGCGTGCCGCGTCCCGCGCGCAGGAATTTTGAGGACGTCTCGACTAATTCGTTTGTTTTGCCAGGATGTCCTTGGATTTTGACCGGATGTCTCGAGCGAAACGCTTGTTTGTCATAATTTGTTGAGGATGTCTCGAGCGAAACGCTGGTTTTGCAAACTTGGGGGATGTCTCGAGCGGGGGCCTCGTGGGGGGCCAGAATTCAGAGGATGTCTCAGGCGACATGTTTGTTTTCACGTCCCGCTCGCAGGAATTCCGGGGATGTCTCGCGCGTGCCACGTCCCGCGCGCAGGAATTTTGAGGATGTCCCGTAGCGCGTCCCCTTGGCACGTCCTACGGTGCGACCCCATGGCACGTCCCTTGGCACGTCGCCTGGCGCGTCCCTTGGGACGTTCCGCGGCGCGCGTCCTCCTGGCATGTCCCCCTGTCAATTAGCTCTGGGGCAGCTACTATGTGTTCAGGCAGCTCGAGCTTAAGATCCAGATCAGTTCGGTCAGGACTCGGATGCAAAGGAAGACTCGATCCACGACGCTATAGAGCACAACCGCGGCATGGCACATCGCAATTCAGCACGGTGCAGCACAGCACAGCCCTCGGCACGGTACATCAAGATCGATACAATCAGCATTGCACTTGCCCGTCACCCAATCAGGTGTCTTTGAAAACGTTGCCATGCGTTACATTTCTATATTTCTTTCCGGGTTCGTGGGTCGATCATGTTTCTCACGTGCGAAGGTTTTTTGGATTGAAAGCGGTTCCTTGTCAAAATTTAGCTCTCGCCTTAGCGCCGCGTGCATTCGTTATTAACAGTTGCACCAGTCACGGATCCCCATGATCAGCGTACCAGAAGTGGTGTTTTCGAAAGATTCAAGAATATGAGCGCGCAACAGCTACATTGATTCGCGGTTTCGAAGTCCCAGGAGTGGCGTCCTGGCACTATTCCAGATCGTCAAGATGAAACAATCAAGTTGATCCGTGGCGTTAGTCCCGAGAATTCTGTTTTGGTATGCTTCAGGGTCTTCAAACGGTTGTCTTCCAACGAGGCAGTTCCCTCCGTGGAAATGACCGCTGTAGGGCCCTAAGAAAAGAGAACTTGGAGGGAGTGTTTATTCCAACATTGTTGATGACACTTGGGTTTACACTGGTCCTGCTCCTCCTCCTCCTCCTTCTCCTCCTTTCTTTCTCCCTCCTCCCTCCTCCCTCCTCCCTCCTCCCTCCTCCCTGCTCACTCCTCCTCCCTCCTGCTCCTCCCTCCTCCGATCCTGGTCCTCCTCCTCCTCCTCTCTGTTTTCCACTAGGACTTACAAAACTGTTCCAGCAAGGATTGTGCAGACCACAGAGACAACTTGAATTGGATCGGTTCGCATGTGGATCGGAATCAAATCGGATCGACAACGAATCGTAACGAATCGAATCGAAATGGGAATGCCCCGCTCAACTCTGGCTGGCACCAACCCAATGCTGCTGGATCGATCCGGATCGAATGGAATCGAATCGAAACGGGTTCGCGGCCCTGGCTGGTCAATCAAATCGTCCCGACTCGGATCGCAGGCGCCCTGATACAGTGGAGGCCAGTCCACAAGAAACCTTCCGCAAGAAACCCAATCCTGAGACCCCAGGACGTCCATCGATTGCTTGGTGTGGGAATGTCATGCTCTCCGTCGCAGAACCATCGAAACCCAAGAAACCAAGGGCACCATGGAGGCGAGCAAGGTGTTTCTTGGCATGGGGGTGGTTCGATCCGCGGCCGCACCACGCAACACATGTAAAATACTGCGCGCCAACCTTTCGATCACCCGAATCCCGAACCGGACTGCCCGAAACCGAACCGTCCCGAGGCAAAACCGAACCGGCTCAAACTGAACTGGCGCCGAACCCGAACCGCTACAACCGAACTGGCCCACGTCGGGGATCTTCTGACCCGGGTCAATCCAGACCCGGATCAGCAAGAAACCAAAAACTGCAATGCAGGAACAAAAAAATGCAATGCAGCCCTTCGCAAACCCGGGTCGGCCAATATGCGCGGCCGCCTCGCGACCACGAGCGGCTCGCTAACCCGGGTCAGCCAGAGGGGGTCTTCGCAGGATCCAGCAGGATCCGGTACCCTGGCTGACCCCCGTTTGCGCTGACCCCCGTCTCTTAGGCCCCGACCGCTGCAGAACCGACCAGAACCGGCCCCATGCTGCTGCAGTGGAGGACCCCCTCCGCACTGCCCGGTGGGCGCCCCCCCGGAGGAGGTCCTGCGGAGGCGCGCGGCAGTGGCCGGGGCGGTCGGCGCGGGCGCGCGCGGTGCCCTCGAGCAGGGCAGCGCGCGCGCGGAGAGGCCCCTGCTGAGAACAGGTATGACACTGTGGTGCGAGCGTTAGGTCGGGCAAGCCCTCCTGCGGGGGGATTGGGGACGAAAAATAAACGATAGTCAAAACATGCCCCAAAATACGCAAGAAATGGTAGAACAATCGTCTCCAGACCATGTTTTGACCATTCTTGGATACTCCTCTTGAAGGGGGACAGGCCCGACTTACGCTTAGAACAAGTCAAGTATGACAGCGTGGTGCGAGCGGGGCAGGTACTCCAGATCCTTCAATAGGCCCCCCCCCGTGCCAACCTGTCCGACGCCCCTTGCCCGCCCCCCCACGCGCCCCAAACCCACCCCCTCTCGCTCCCCAACCTCCCCACGCCCCCCGAAGGACAGCGGTTTCCCACCCCCCACGCGATCCACCCCCCACACGCTTATTCAGAAACCTGGAGTAGAGGTTTCCCAGAAGGGGTCCGAGAAGCTGGGTTCGGTGGATCGTGCCGCATCGCCGATGTATCGCCGATGCGTCGGCAACGCTGGCGTGGAGAACGGCGGACTCCACATCGGGCTCAGGATAACCCCGTGCCCCAGATGATCAAGCTTCCCCCCCCCTCGGCGGTGGACAAACCTCCCTTTAGTAAACCTCCCCTTAATGAAAACGGCCTGGGACCGAAACTGACGGACCTGGACCTGCAAAAATGACGGCCGCGACGCCCTCTCGCGAACCGAAAACGGCAAATTCACTAATCGACGTGTCAGGGAAGGAGGTCTATCCATCTCCGACCACCCCCTTCCCACAATCCTCATGATCATCTCCGGCCAAAGCAATTTTGGTCGGCGGTGGGGGGCGGCGGGGCCGAGCTTCATGATCGCTGGGGAACGTACGACTCGTAGATCGGAGATCATTATGGCGATTCTCAGCATCAGCATCAGCATCAGCATCAGCATCAGCATCAGCATCATCATCATCATCATCATCATCATCATCATCATCATCATCATCATCATCATCATCATCATCATCATCATCATCATCATCATCATCATCGTAAGCATCAACAGAAACAGCATCGCCACCATCATCGCCATCATCATCACCATCACCATCACCATCACCACCACCACCACCACCACCATCATCATCATCATCATCATCATCATCATCATCATCATCATCATCATCATCATCAACATCATCAATATTCTACCACTGCTCGTGGCCCCCTGGGGAGCTCAGGCCCGTGCTCCTTCTCCCCCCTGCTCCTGCTCCTGCTGCTGCCCCTCCTCCTCCCTCCCCATTCCCCTCCCCCTCCACCTCCGCAACGTGATCGCTATGCCGTAATATGTCTCAGGATTCCACCTCCTCGCACCCCTCTGGAGAGGCCCCGCGAAAACAAGCACGGCATTGTTATACCATGAGACACTCCGTGCATCGCATGCGTGCACTCCGAAAGACTCCGTTCACTCCTCCTGCTCCTCCTCCTTCTCCTGCTCCTCCTCCTCTTCCTCTTCCTTTATGTTGCGACCTGTCGGGGCCAATTTCTTATCCCTCTGGATACCCGAGCTGTCTTATCCCCACCCTGCAACACCGGTCTCAAAAAAAAACGCTATCCTTGAGAGGCGATTCCCCCGCGCGGGCCCTCTCTTTGCATGCCATCACCCTGCCAAGGCTTCTTCGGTGCACGCTGTCCCCAAGGTTGGGGACACCGTGTAGTAGGCGGGCTGGCGGCGACATGTCGCACGCTATCTTCAAATCGCTGGTGCACGCTGTCCCCGAGGTTGGGGATACCCTGCAACAAGCGGGCTGCGGCGCCACGTCGCACGCTATCTTTCAAATCGCTCTAGGAATTCTGGAGCACCCAGCGGTCCTCGTCTCTGGAGCCCGCGAGGGCCAACGGGAAACCTTGGCAATCCTGGAACGCACCAGCATCATGACTCCTTGCCGCTCCGATCGTAGAATGTATCGGGTCCGCGGCCGTTCCCTCAGGAGTCCCGAAACGGTGCGGTGACACACCGTGCGGTGACCTCGACATCCCCCAAGGCCTCGCCGCACGGCCCGTCACCGCACGGCCTTGGAGCCCGGGAGGCCCCTGCCGCCCGATACCGCCTCGGAGAACGACCCGAGTCCCAAGACCGTGCGGTGACCCCGAATCCCCACCGACTCACCGTACGGTGCAACCACCACACCGTGTGGGGGCCCCCGATTTCCCGAGCGCTCCGTGACGCTCCGAGAGCGTTCGGGCACGCCCTGGAATGCTCTACCTCGTGCCCAGTCCCGCCTGACGTCCGTCCCGTTCCCTCCTGCCGACCCTCCTCGCGCGCACGCAGAGGGGGGCCCACAGAAGACGTGCGCGCCCAGCCACGTGCATGAGTACGGCCCCTCGGCCCGCGAGACCAGCCTGGTGATAGGAACGTTCGCGCAATGCGAACTTTCGAACCAGTGTGGATTCACGTGCGTGTGCGTCCTTCCTTCGCTCCTGAGCACGGGGTCGGTCGGTCGGAGTGTAACTCACGAGGGATCGTGGACATGGGGGGCGGAACCAGCGTAATGTACAATGGATCGCAGCCCTGGGAGCGCGGACGCAGCGTACTTTACGAGGGACCGTGGCCCTGGGATCGCAGACGTAGCTCGTTTACAAGGGATCATGGCCAAGGGAGAGCGGACGCAGCGTACTTTACGAAGGATCGTGGCCCAGGGAGAGCGGACGCAGCGTACTTTACGAGGGATCGTGGCCCAGGGAGAGCGGACGCAGCGTACTTTATGAGGGACCGTGGTCCTGGGATCGCGGACGTAGCGTAGATTACGAGGGATCGTGGCCCTGGGAGCACGGACGCAGCGTACTTTACGAGGGACCGTGGCCAAGGGAGAGCGGACGCAGTGTAATTTACAATGGATCGTGGCCGTGTGAGCGCGGACGCAGCCTAGTTTACGAGGGATCCTGGCCCTAGGAGCGCGGACGCAGTATACTTTACGAGGGATCGTGGTCCTGGGACTGCGGACGTAGTGTAGTTTACGAGGGATCGTGGCCCAGGGAGAGCGGACGCAGGGTACTTTACGAGGGATCGTGGCCAGGGGAGAGCGGACGAAGTGTAATTTACAATGGATCGTAGCCGTGTGAGCGCGGACGCAGCGTAATTCCCAGAAAGGGCTTAGGCCCAGGGTTCTCTTTTAGTAAGTAAACCTGTCCCCGGTGCCAAGTTCGAGGAGGGCTGGCGAATCTCTGTTGAAATGACGAGGTCGAAGAGGGCCGGCGAAATGAAATTGAGGATGTCCCGAGCGAAACGTTTGTTTTGCAGAACTTGTTGAGGATGTCTCCAGCGAAACGCTACTTTTGGATTGTCCTCTCCTGGGGACCAGGATTCAGAGGATCTCTCAAGTGAGGTGCTTGTTTTCACGTGCCCAGGTCTTCAGGAGGTCTCGAGCGAGACGCTTGGTTTCACGGCAGATGCCTGCGCCAGCATTGCAACCTGGCACGTTCCCTGGCAGATGTCTAGAATGAGGACTCGCTGAGGAAGTCTCGAGCGAGACGCTTGTTTGCACGTGTCTGGGTGGCCCAGGCGGATGTCTAGCATGATGATGTGTCGAGAATGTCTTGAACGAAACGCTTGTTTTCACGTGTCCAGGTCGGCCAGGCACAGCACAGCCCTCGGCACAGTACATCGAGATCGATACACTCAACATTGCAACCTGGCACGTTCCGTGGTGCGTCCCGTGGCGAGTCCCCCTGGCACGTTGCGCGACGCTTCCTCTGGCAGCTACTATGTGCTCAGGCAGCTCGAGCTTAAGATCGAGATCAGTTCGGTCAGGACTCGGATGCAAAGGAGGACTCGATCCACAACGCTGTAGAGCACAATCGTCACGTGGCACATCGCAATTCAGCACGGCGCAGCACAGCACAGCCCTCGGCACGGTACATCAAGATCGATTCACTAAGCATTGCATTTGCCCGTCGCCCAGTCAAGTATCTTTAAAACGTTGCCAAGTCTTACATGTCTAATTTAATTACTTTCTGGGTTCGTGTGTCGATCATGTTTTTACGTGCCCAGGCCACCCAAGGGGGTATCTAACATGGTTGTCCCGAGCCAGCACCACGTGTTTTAACCTGGCCAGGCCACCCAGGGGTGTATCTAACATGGTTGCTCAGAGCGGGATCCAAGTGTTTTTACGTGTCCAGGCCACCCAATTGGATATCTAACATGAATGTCCCGAACTGGAACCACTGTTTTTTACGTGTCCAGGTCGCCCAGGGTCGTACCTGACATGATTGTCCGAACTGGAACCACGTGTTGTTTTACGTGTCCAGGCCACCCAGGGCGATATCTAACATAGCTGTCCCTAGCAAGGACCGCGTGTTTTAACGTGTCCAGGCCACCCAAGGTTGTATCCAACATGGTTGCCCAGAGCTGGTCCCACGTGTGTTTACATGTCCAGGCCACCCAGGGGGATACCTAAAATGGTTGCGCCGAGCTTGAACCCTGCGTTTGTGCGTGTCCAGGCCGCCCAAAGTGGTATCTAACATGATTGTCCCGAGCTGACACCACGTGCTTTTACGTGCCCATGCCATCCAGGGCGATATCTAACATAGCTGCCCCGTGCAAGGACCACGCGTTTTAACATGTCCAGGCCACCTGAGGTTGTATCTGACATGGTTGCCCAGAACTCGTCCCACGTGTGTTTACGTGTCCAAGCCACCCAAGGGGTATCTCACATGATTGCCCCGACTTGCAACCGCGTGGTTTTACGTGTCCAGGCCGCCCAGGGGGGTATTTAACATGGCGGAGCCACATGCGTTCAAGTGTCCAGGCCACCTAGGGGGTATCTAAGATGGGCCTCCTGGTGCCTTCCTGGGGGCCTAGAACGGACGTCTGACATGAAGATGTGTTGAGGATGTCTCGAACGAGCCACTTGTGTTCCCTTCCAGTTCGCCCAAGCGGATGTCTAGCATGAGGTGGCACGTCCATGGGCACGTTACGTAGCGCGTCCCCTTTGGCACGTCC